TTTTTTTTTTTTTTTTTTTGTAAGAAAGTTTCAACTATGATTCTGTGCTTCTCATTTGTTTTCCCCTTTTTTCTCATTTATGTTCATTAATCTTTATTACTGCTACTGCTAATCACCTTCTGCTATACGATGAAAACCGAATTATTATATCAGGGAAAAAAAAATAGTATTTTTTTTTCCATTAATTAATTAAATTTGACTAAATCCTAAGAAATTAATTTACTTTTATAAACTGTCTCTTATTTTTCTCTTCAGATTTTAGTTGAAGAAGAAATCATAGCAAAAAAGAAAAAAAATACAGAGGACAAGAAACATAAAGAAGACTGAAGGCGAAGAAGACGAACAGTGATCGGTGAACCATCAACAATGACCACTGTAAATTCACGAGCTGTAAGTATTCTGAATCAGTATCAGTCAATAAACAGCGGTGATTTATCAGCTAAATTAAATTTTATCTATGCAAAATAATCACTTTGGTTAAATGTATGATTACTATCCTATTTAACTGATAGTTTTAGGCGGTCAATTTATACCAAAAACAGTAAACTGCTTTTGCTTCCTTTTCAATATCACTCAATATTTAAACTTTCAAATACACTCAGATACTGAAGTTTGTAATTTCTGTTTCCTCTTTATTGTTCTATACAAATATTTTAGCAAAAAAATTGAAAATAAAAAAAATAAGTTAAAGTATCGATTTGCAGTTTGCATACTATCGGTCTGTTCGACCAGTTGAACATCTGAACTTTTAAACTGATACAGTTTCTTTTCTTAGAAAAGTCATCTGTGGTGAATTCAAAATTTACGCTCATGTTGACATATTATCAAAAGAAGAAGAGGGAAAAAAGGGTCAAAAAGTTAAAATAAAAGCATAAAAATAGGCTGATTAAATAGACAAATAAATATGGTAAACAAATACTTTGTAGCGTGAAGTAATCTCAGTACACGTTGGACAAGCAGGTGTTCAAATTGGAAATGCTTGTTGGGAACTTTACTGTTTGGAACATGGTATTCAACCAGATGGAATCATGCTTGACGATGAATCTATTGGTACATCAATTGAAGTCTTCAAACAAATCAACAAATTGATGAATAAAACAAAGAAAAAAAATCCACTGAATTTTCTCCTAATTCTTTTCCCCATACTAACCCACCTAACTATCATTTGCTCAAGAATCTAGAGTTGCTGTAGACCGCTTAATTACAGGTATTGAAGATGACTCTTACAATACATTTTTTGCTGAAACAATTTTTGGACGACACGTGCCTCGTGCCATTATGATTGATCTAGAACCAACACCAGTTGGTAAATATATCTTCTCCATTTAATCCAAATAAAATTACATACAAACCTACAAAACTAAGTAATACTAACCAAAAAAAATAAAATATATCCAAAGAGCAAAGAAAAAATTGATCGTTTAACCATCGTTTTAAAACACATCTTTTTAACTGCCAAAAAAAAAACTGTATATTCGTAATATATCTAAAATATTAGGTACCAACTACATATCAGTTGGAAAAAAATTTATGACACAGAATGACGTTTTTTTGCAGAACAGAATTGTTGTAAGCTTCTTTGCACTCTATTCTTAATCTGAATAAGTCTAGTTGTTTGATTAGACCACCAACCAGTTCAGCAACAAATATTTTCCCTTAGAAAATAGAAGCAAAAAAAAAGACAATTTTTTTTTCTTTTATAATCAAAAATAAAAAAAAAAAAAACAATTTTCTCAAACTTTTTTTTTTTTAATTTTTTCATTCATAATAAATGTTCAACAGTTCGTTTTCGACTTTATGAGCAAAAATTTTCCACTGACTAACGTTCAAGAATTGTACCCCAAAGAGACGAACAATAAGCAGTAAATGAATTAAAATAATGATGTTTTAAAGGAAAAATTGATCAAGTTGAAAATT